ACCCTGTGTCAGCCCTGCTCAGCAGTAACGAAAACATCCCTGTGTTATCAGCACTGTTTCCAGCCCAAATCCAAAACACAGCCCGATACCAGCTACTGGGAAGAAAATTAACTCTCTCCCAGCCAAAACCAGCACAGCGTGTTAGCACTTTGGACTAGAGAAGTAGCTGAAATAATAAAAATAAAATATAACGCTTAAGGAGCTGTTGAATTCAGTGTGTGAAACTCCAGTTGCCTATCAGTTTCTGTCTGCTGTCATGAATGAGTGTGTTCTCTTGTTTTCTTAGCTTTTTTCTTTTTTTTACTTTCATTCTGTTCCTGTTTTAAAATTAATTAGAAGATTATGAGATTTATTAAGGAAATTTCTTTTAAAAAAGTAGACTCCCATGAAAGCAGTATCTGGTGCATTGTAGCGTAGTAGTCATTGGGATCCATCCAAGTTGACTGAATTAATTTTTTGCTGTGGTATGTTGTACGAAGCTTCAAGTACAAGGAATGACATGGGAGTAAGGCATTGTAATCACCATTCAATCAATAAAAATCTTACATTTTGGGGGGAGCTAAAAAATAACTCCGAGTCTTGCGGGACCTTGTGAGAGCTCTGATGGGTCTTGCATTAAGCCAGAAAAACTCCATTATTGTAGAGCTTTTTATCCTATTGACAGTAGAAGCTTTCTAAAAAAGCTGAAAGATAGCATGTAGGGCAGAGAAAATATTAAACGGTCCTGATTTTTATTATTATGTATCACTCGGTGTGTATTGGAACCATTTTCTAAAACTTTCCTAAGAGGCCACGACTCTGTGAACCTTATCTAGATGAGAGGTTCAGAGAAGCATCCATTCTGTTGAGGAATTGGCCAGCCCAGACCTCCAAATCTCTCGTATCTGTCCATCATTAGTGCAACCATGATGTGCTGAAATCCACTTTTCGCAAGTATTGTTTTCTGATGCTTTCATAATTCTCAATTTTGCTGTTCACAGAGAGCGAAGAAGTGTACCAGCGCCAGGTGCTGTCTATTTCCTGTATCGTCTTTGGCATAGTCGTAGTGGGCATGCTTTGTGCAGCGTTCTACTTCAAAACAAAGTAAGAGCCTTCGTCTAGCGTGTTTGTTATTTAGCTTCTGTCCTTTTTACGGCTTTACAATCCTTCAATTTGTCCCCTCCTTTTGAAGCTATCGTTATCTCTGGACAGGCTAGAACAGTTCCCCGTGGCTACACTATCTTAAGTCAAAAAAGAAAAAAGTGAACAGGAGTAATGTGTGTTCTTGTTTCTATTTTCTGATATCAGGAAAGAAGAGATTGTGTCCTTTCCAGTTTGGTTGGGGTTTTTTTTGGACAATAATAATTTTGTGTCTTTTACTATCAGTGCAATAATCACTTTCCTCTTTTGAAAAAAACCCTTTTAAACATACCATCTCCTTTTTGCATTTTCATTGCGTATCCCTGAATGTCCCTTTTGTTTCTGTATGCTGAGAACAAAGGTAAAGTTAGAAATGCAGAAAGAGACAGGTTCTCTGCAGATATCTGTAACCTGTGGCTAATAGTTGTAAACTGCTGACGTAGATGCATAACTGAGTATCTGTAATGCACAAGCACATTGAACTATCCAAGTATGGTGGAATCATCTGTACTAAACTATTTTCAAGTGAAATACTTTCCACTCTATTCTTTATCTTCCCAACTAAACATGATTTTATAATATTTATTGTTATGTGTGTAATTTGAGTTGCAAAAACCTCATAGCAATTACGTGACATGCTTATCAGTGCCACTGTATCTATAAATATGTTCTGTATGGTTGTCATCCCTCATTCCTGTTTCAGCTGGAGCTAATGAGAGAACACATATCAATATAAATACTACCTGCATGAGGTTAGTCGTGGTGGCTGAGCATCAAAAATGTGGAGGTTTGCACTATTTAAAAGTTTGGATGCTTATCTGAATCCCCCTTTTTAGAGTTTATTTTAATGGGTAGGAAATCTGATGAAGGCTACTTTTTATTTAAAAAAAAAAACCAAAAAAAATGTTTTGACATTTCTGTCAGGGGAAAAAAAAAAGGAAGTTGGAAAAATCACCAGATCTTTTTTTATTCTTTTTCATCCCCCCAAACTTCAGGGGTAGTTTGTGCATGATTTGAGTGAAGATTTGAGTTCATTCATGTTTCATCTAAACACGCCTACCTGTTCTAATGTCTTGAGGGATTTCATTTAATTGTTCTTTGGACCTAGAGCATGACAGTGGCGCTAGCTGGGAGGATGCTGCGGCAGGAGAGTCCCTCTCTGCAAACTCCTTGGTTGTGAGCGGAGACAGCCATTTTGCCGCTGCGTTAGAAATGTTGTTATGCATTTTAGATCTGCAGAAGAAAGAAAGAGAGAATAAGGTGTTCCTGTTCTTCCTGGAAAGGCTTGGGGGTTTTGCTGATGAAGAGAGACTCAGAAAAGGCAGAAGGGGGTTGTCAGTTGGAAGAACAGGCAGTCAACAGCTGAGCACAGCGTGAATAAAACGTCCCTCTGTTATCCAGCTGTGCCCCTCTGGGTTTTGCACTGTTGTAGGGAGCGGTGGAGAGCTGGGTTGGAACAGCCTTCCAAATACCGTGACTTTGATGAGGCCATGGGGAGAGCTATGTCTAAAAATAATGAGTAGAACTAATGCTTCAGCGATGAACTCACGAGACAATAGTGCTTCACATCTCGGTGTTGGGTTTGGTTTTTTATCTGCATTATGAAAATGATAGTTAAGAGTTACTGGGAAGAGTTGAAGTGTGCTTATGCCAGATTCTGGGAACTGAAGTTTGAAGAGCAATAAGAAAATGAGCGCCTCCGATTCAGTCAAGAGGTCTTATCAAAGATATGAAACACAGTAGCGGTGAGATACTGATCAACCCCTAACTCCCTGTCTGTGGCTCCATCTGGCAAACTGTCCAAAAAGTAAATACGAGTGTCTAGACTAGGCTGCATAGAGGCCCCATAAACCCGTACCGTAACTGTGACATTGGCCTGTGTCTAAGGGTGTGAACACCAACAAATTTAAAGTGCCTCAACCTTTATCATATGTTAGCTTTTAGTCAACAGATTTTCAGGAGCTTCTTCATCAGGCAGATGTGTCTTGATCATGCTTAAGAGCTATCGAAGCATTCCTCCTGCATGGGGGATAATCCTTGGGTTTAATTTGATGTATCAAGAGTTTAAAATATTGCTGACAGCTACGGGAACTCTGGATGGTGCAGCCTTTAAGAAAAAAGTTTCCATGACGACTCTGACCCTGACTTTCTTAGTCTGACAATTGTATAATACCTGCTGCTAGAAGTATGCACTTCCCTATGCACCATTAAATTAAAAGTCCTTCTTTAAAATAAATTGAATCTGAGGACGTTTAGAACTATAATTAAACACTATGCCCTTCCAATTATTCCTTTTAGGGTAATCAAGAAAGTGCTGTAAGTGTTAGCAACAGAGGGAGAGTACAGTAATGGGCTGCTCCTTATGGCTTAGACTTTTAATAGATGACTAGTGACTTTATTTCTTGCTGAAGTAACAACATTTTATTGCCGAATATCTCTAAAGTAAAACACATAAGGCCCATTTGTTTTGAAAACAAAATTCATAAAATAAATATATTAATTGGTGAGTAACTTTGAATTATTAATAGTTTCTAGTTTTATAACTGTGCATCCTATAGTTTGGCAAAATGAATATGCATAAACCTAATACTAATGTTAGGTTGCATGATCATAAAAGGAAATTAATTATTAGATTGTCTCTCTCAGTAAATTACCTTCAGCAATCTCAATTGTAAATGTTAAAGTTCGCAGCAGTGAGGCTGAATATTCCAGTTTACTTACATGTATTTATAGATGCAGAAACAACTCTAAACCCAGGTTTTCTAAATAAATCCAAATTAGAGTTCCAAAAATTTGTAATTTTCTTTGTTACTTTCCTGATTAAATTCTGAGATCGTTGTATGTATAGGAGAGATTCCCAAAGTCTGATGCTGTGATCATGTTTCGCTGTCATTGTTTAGACTGTATATGAAGTCTCTACTCAAAAAACAGTCATCAAAAAAGACTGGATGTTCCATAACCATTTTGGAGACCAACATGCAAGTGGCTGCCTTTCCAGTAGGACATATGGAGATATATATGCTTATTTCCTTGGTGTATGTAATCTAGCTGGTCAGAAAAAAATTATTCATACGAACTAGAGTTGCTTTTATGAATTTCCCCTGGAATTTTATGAGAAGCTAAAGAGTTCATTTTGACATTTTACAAATTAAATTATTCAATTTCGTCGGTTTAAAAAATGAGTAGATATCAAAAATGTTTTTACAAGAGATGTTTCCAAATCAACTGACTAATTAATTTAATTTGACACTATAATCCTTCAGATTATATATCTATTCAGATTATTCTGATATTAACTTCACAAGTTGTTTTGGCTAAGGAAGAATTTTGAAAGTTTAATAACTTTTTGTGCTTGAGAAATTATTTCCTCACCCACCCATATTCATAAATCTTACTAATTATGAGCTCCTAGCTATACTCAAAACATGCCATTCATATTTGTAACATGCTTACAATGTAAATTCATTCTTTTTCATTTGCCATGCTGTTTCAAAATAGGATGTCAATAGAAAGCATAAGAGATACTTACAGAGTCCGATATTTATTATAGTTTATGACCTGTATTCGGGAAACGTGCTATAACAAGTACCTACTTCTAAGCAGGTGCTTACAGCTTGTTCAGTTTAAGCAAATGCTTAACTTGTGCAATGCTGAATCAGAACTAAGGGACTCAAAGTCAGAGGAAATCCCGTATATTTATTTTACGATATTAAAAAGTATATTATTAAAATGGAATATCTGAACTGTGATACTTCTCACTGCTTTCTTTCACATTAAGGGAAGTTGTCCTTTCTCACAGTTTCCCCCCTTGACGACTTCAGTAAGTCATTTTCCTCTGGTTTCTTACATTTTTCTGCACTAGACGCAGACTGCACTGAAGGAAGTTAAAATGACGTTTATACTTCATTTGCTGTCAAATTCATTGGCTTGAGCCAAGTAAGATGCTATCAAACTCGATGATGTCACAAGGCTTTCAGCAGCAAAATCACCAGAAATTTTTCAAAATATGGCTGAAGATTCTTTGCTAAAATTTCAAATTTCAGTATAGAAAGACTGTATTTCCTTTATTTCTTATTGACACTTCCCTGAAATCACTTCCTTCTGAAATTTGGCTCCGGACCAATTGCTGTCCAAAAGCTGCTGGTGGCATAACGAACTGCTGATGATGATGACGAGTCCTTGACCTTGCTGGGCGGTTTCCAGGGCCTTTGTAGGTTTGCTGCTGGAGAAGCATCTGCTGGGGAGAAAAAGGAAGAAGGGACGGAAGGAAAGAAAGAATTAAAATAGTATTGTGGAGTTATTTCTCGTGATCATTTAAAACTGATAGTCTCAGACAATGTAGCTTATCAAAAAATGGAGACTGATAAAAGACCGTAAATATATTTTGCTAACAGTTTTTGCCCAGCTGAGATATCTGTTTGCAGAAGGTAAAAGAAATACTTAAAATAAAGTTTGCTGCCTCATATCCTCAGTCATGTACAGAACTTTAAAACTCAGTTTGCCAATATAGTGTGGCAGAAACAGAAAGCCTTTATTAATGGTGTAGTTACCTCCTGAATATTGCAAGTGATTCATCTAGTGGTATTCCTAGCTCTGACATAGTGAATCATAGTATAATATGTCAAAAACACAGCCTCAGATACGGTACTGATGTTTTTTTCCAGGTTTAAGCATGTAAGCAAAAGCTGGTCTACACAAGATACTGGGTTATAGGTCAACTCCAATCAGCTGCTAGCAGAAATCTTTCATTCTTCAACACTTTCTATAGCCAACAGGGGCTAATGCCTGCTGTATTTGCCAAAATCTTTGTTCCAAATCAGAGCAAAATGCTTTTTTAATATTCAGGCCTACTTGCAAGCTATTGTTAAATACGTAATAGATGATCTTACAAAATTCTGCACTAAAACAACTAGCATGCTATTATAGTAATCTGAGAATAGAAGATATTTTGAACAGAAGAGCTCTTTTCTTCCTTTCTTAAGCCTCGCCAGAAAATGACCACTGCATTGAAATATTAGACACTAGCGAATTAGCTCAGCTGGTTAATCTAATACGGTGAAGTTTTGAACAAAGGGAACCATGGCTATAAAAATATCATGGCTATAGTAGAAGATCAAACCACCTCTTTCTTCCATGAATTTTATTTCTCTCTGCAGGAAACAAACAAAGCAAATTCATGAACAGCTGAAAGAAACACAGAATAGGAAAACCTACAGCCTAAATGCTTCCAGCATGATGGCAAAGTCAGAGTGTATGGCACAAAGCCGAGTCCAGCTGCAAAATGTAAGTAATCTTGCCAGCTACAACACTTAATAGCCTGGCTGAGTTCCTGCTGCTGATGGCAGCACATCGCCGTGTTGCTATTAGCATCTGAGCAATGGGAACAAGAATTCTCACCTCTTTCATAAAATGTTTTCTGTCAGGCCTGTTAATGGAAAACACCAAGCAGGGATTTTTTTCTAATTTCAGTGGATCCTGGTACATTTTGTTCATGTAATAGACCTTGCTGAGCCCCCTAGCTCTGCATCCAGCAGCAGTGGAAATGACTATTATTGTTTCCAGCAATACCTTAGCTGCTATGCACGGTTTATAGGTGAAGTGGGGGTCCTTGATCTTAAGTGATTTCAAGTCTTCCAATAATTAATGAACCTGCATGAAAAAATGTAGAGATCTGTCACAGTTAATTCAGAGTAAATTCAAAATCTAGACCTAAATTTACACATGTAAACTAGTGCCCAAGGGAAGACTGTGCGGATGGTCTCATTTTCCTGGGTCTCGAGTGAAAGGGATTTTTGATACCAGAAAGAGGTTAGTTTGTTCAAACTAAATTTGAAATTTATTTAGTCATTTTCTTTATGTAGTTACATGTAGGTTAATACAATCCCACAATCATGAAATACGTAAAGCGTATTTGAAATAAGGAACTTGAAGGCGACCGATTTATTTAGCCCTGGCTGCAAGGTATTTTCCAATGCATGTCATTCTCTTCGCCATGGACATACACATTTAGTGCTGTCTTATTTTGAACAAAGTCTTTGGAACAACTGAGAAGGATCCTGGTAGCAGTGTAATCGGAAATTGTAAAAGATGTATTGAAGCCTTTCTAAATGCTTAACTCTTTAAAAAAAAAAAAAGTATCTTAGGTTTGCTTAAGGGGCTGACGACCTTCTTTGCCAGATTCCATCAAAATAGTGGGAGTTTAGCAAAAGTGAGCACTCCTGCCCACTTAGCCACAGATGTCTCAACTCCTGGTTTACATCCAATTAATGTAGAAATAAGTATAAGCCCTTTTAACCAATTCAGAGTAAACAGAGCCTCCATGCTATGACAGAGGAGTTGTCAGAGCATTGCTTGTGTTCACTAAAAGTCTTGTTTTATAGGAGCATCATTGTGGCCATGACATGCTTTGTGGTTCGGGAAAAACAGGCTATTTCAAGAAGGAAGATAGCTCCACTAAATCGACATAATCACAGTTTAGGGAACCTTGTGCAATTCTTTGTTTCACTTTCAGTTCATTCAGTCATATATTCCTTCTAGCCCCTAAAAAAAAGCTGTTGGGAGTGTTGTTGGGTTGTAATGATGGCAACAAAAGGAAAAGTTGTGAAGAGCTTTTGTGATCCTTTTGTTCTAACGTATAAAGTAGGTCTTGGTTAACACTAAGAGTATGTTCTTTGCCTTTTTCTCACTGTAATTCAGTGCAATATTTTGTCAACCCATCATCATGATGAACAGTTTGATGTCTTTGGAGCAGCTGACAAACACATCAACAAGCTTTATTTAAGTCTTTTTCTTTTGCCATAACAATAGCCATAATGGCTGAAGTAGCAGTTTGTAGATTCCAGATATTAGAGATTAAAAACCATTGTTATTTACTATTTTAATCCAAATTTGCTTTTCAGCTTTTAATGCTGTTCAGACTGGCATTGTCAGTGCTGGTAATTAACACACCGTTTTCTTGTTCTTGTGGCTGCTTGCAGGCAGCTGTTTTCTCCTTCCCGTTAATGCATTTTCCCTTTGGGAGCAAAGATACTAAGGAAGAAAAACAGAATGACCTCGTGCAGGATGTAGCGTAACAGTGCAGGGTAATAATGGTTTCTA